GGCAGTTAGAAGAGTAGGAGTTAGCTGTGAGACATTCGCCGGCAAGTCAGGACGTGAAAACAGAATCTGAGAAAGCTATGGTGCTGGAAGCCGTTACCAGGCGACAACCGGTGAAGATAGAGCAGACTCAGAATACTTAGTGCTTGCTGTAGTGAATTATAGTGTGTGTGAATTAGTGACATCGCTATAGTTACTTTTAGTCGCTATCTGTAAGTATTCACTAAATTCCATTACCAAATCAACCCCCCATCCATAGTCCCCCATACATCTGACAACATGTAAAGAGAGAAAGTTTAAATGAAAGTTATGTATGCGTCTAATCTTCGTACAAATGTGAGTAAAATTTCCTTGTGCTTACTAGTATTTATGCACCATGGCATTAAGATGTATGGGGGAGTGGAGTTCAGGCTCTGCAGCCTGCGTCGGGACGGAAAGAATAATAGAAGAAAACGACGAAAATTATGAGCTCTTTCTGGACTGTGACGCCGTGTAGCCTCGCAGTTAATTATCGACATTTTGCAGGAATGTATTACCTCCAAATTAAGACCCTGAAAATAGAATCAGAAATTTCCTCCGAATGAATGATAACGATCTACTAGACTCCGCTGCGTCATATTCCACAAACAGTAATTTTCATAATCATCACCGTGGAAACCTCATATTTTGGAAGACAATAGATTATTGCTAAATGCCACGGGCTGTGAATTTTCTCTTTCCATCTTAAAAACATATTAATTATTGAAGAATGTCGTCTTCTGGGTTTTGGCGCCGTGTATTCTTCGTTTTGGCCGACGTTTCGGAGGAACGTATCGCCTGCTCTCTGTATTCACAAGCCATTCACCTGCTCTGAAGATGGAGGCGATACGTTCCACCGAAACGTCGGCCAAAACTAAGAATACACGGCGCCAAAACCCAGAAAACGACATTCTTCATTGTCATCGCAGTGAAAACCTCAAAACTTACATATTAATGATTGATTTAAGAATTTCACAGTAATTACATTTTATGCTGAATCCGATCTTTCGTGTTTGCATGGTGTGGATAATGACAGTACTACCGACGTTTCGGAGGCAGTATATACTTCTGAAACATCTGCAACATTACCCGCATCCATGCGGCGCAGAATGAACGCGCCTTGTCATTATACTCCCCTTGTCAGAGAGACACCCTCTGCGCTTATTACGAATGTTTGCATAGAGTTTTCGTGTAACTTTGAAATTATTTCAGAAGCAGTTATCAGTTTTACTCTCTTCTCTGTTTGGCATAAACTTGAGAAGCAAACGCACACAAACGGGAAGGCCTCTATGTTATTCTTAGCCAGCGGAACTGCATTAAGAAAATAGAACAGGGTTCTGAAATTTGCAGCACTGATGTAGACAGCCGAATTCTGAATCCTCTAGCGTACGAATGCGGCGAGACGGGAACCGATGGGTATAAACTTGACAACGCAGGTCTTCAGGGAGAACTGCTCGTGACATATCTTACTGCGTAATGCAGTAGTAGAGAATGTGTAAATTTCTTATATACGCTCTTTGGGGGGGGGGGGGGCAGGTTAGAAAGAGTGATAGATGCATTTTCATAATTCTACTGAGATAGAAAATATGTCGGAAATTCAAGGTGAAAAAGCGAAATGTTAGATTTGAAGTTCTCACAGCGGTGCTTATCTATCTTCTGTGATATAATGCCCGACGTTTCGGAGAAAAATATCCATGTTTGATAAATTGCTCAACGCTGATTTCTTGTTTTGTCTACTTTCGGCCCTGAAGATGGAAAAGATTTTCTTCCGAAATGTAATCTTTTTTTATTGCTAGTGGGGTGGGACTAAGTCCCTTGTACTGCGGCCACTTATGGCCTATTGTACCAGCCCCAGATGATAGGTGAGTGTGATTGTGGAGCAAATGGTGGAACGAAGATTGGTAGGGAAACCGAAGTACTCGGAGAAAACCTGCCCCAGTGCCACTTTGTCCACCACAAATCCCACTTGACCAGACCCGGGATCGAACCCGGGCCACTGCGGTGGGAAGCCAGCGACTAACCGCTTGAGCTATGGCGCGGTCCAAAATGTTATCTTACTTCCGTATGTCTACATAGCGATATATGCCAGAAGATTGATATCCTGAAAAGGTAAAGCATTTCCCATTTCATTTTCACGATTTTGGAGGCGTGTGATTATAGACGGTGTACGGATTGGTTATTGGATTTATTTCCCACCTGTGTATACCACTCTGAACTACACTTTGCAGTTAACTGAGAGCATAGTCTCCACTAGCCATATCTCCACTCCATCCTACATCTTCATGACGTCCTGTTAATTAAGCACAGCGACAACTTTACCTTTACTTAGTTACTTTGTTGGTTGATCAGTTCACTTGTTCTGGGGGCAGCGCAATGAACTTACATGTCACAATACAGACCATCGCACTTGTATCTTTCATGAAGCATTCGTACCAGCATGCAGCAAACTGGTGAAGCCAATAAGTCATTTTGGCGGTAACATGGCGCCGAGGGGGACTCATAAAGTTTCATTCGGTGTGACGTCACGTCCACTTCAATACTAACTCATGACCTCTCATCGACGTAATATCCGTGGAACACAGGACCATGTCTGATTTTCCTTATAGTGATTATGAAGGAAAATCGCTATACTTATGGTCCTTTAATATGGACCGATTATACAAATAAACGGAGATATGAAAAGAAAAGAAGGAAATTACGGTGGAAACGAAGAGGATGTTAAGGATTTGCAACACTAAAACCTAGTAATCAATTGCTCTTAAGTCCGCGCCATAGCTCAAGCGGTTATTCACTGACTTCCCATCGCAGCGGCCCGGGTTCCAGTCCAGGTCTGGTCAAGTGGGATTTGTGGTGGGCAAAGTGGCGCTGGGGCAGATTTCCTCCGAGTACTTCAGTTTCCCTTGACAATATTCATTCCGCCAAATTCTCCATCATCATAATCATCCGGGTCAGGTACGATAGGCCAATCAGTGGCCGACGTGTCGAGTAGACCCAGCGTCGCATTTTGTGTGACAAGGAAAGTTAAAGCGTCGTAGTATGTCGTAAGTCCGTGTCATGTGCCCATGCCGGGTATTTAAATCAAAATCCCCGGGGTGGGTGGGGGGATTGTTCTGGAATGATGTCATACTTGTGGATGATTTTACCCCCCCACCCCGCAGTTACTCCACTCCTGGTGCTGTTGCTGGAAGCGAGAAAGAGACAAGAGATTTGCAACTTCTCAGACTCAAAGAGCTCGAAATTCACGTGATGTCACACGAAATGTCAGGATGTAGCATAATTCCAGTTAGATTAGTTGGAGCATACGTTCCTTATTCAGAAAGAGATGGTTATCGCTGCTGTCAAAGTTAGAAACGTGCTCGTAACTGGAGAATACAAATTAGAACCTGGACCCTAGAGACAAGAACCATTTAAACTTACACAAAAATTCTCTGATAATATGCCATCAGTGATGTCGCTTGGTAAATGTTAGGAATGCGCAGTCTGCAGTCGCGCAGTGAACCTTTCTGTGATTCCCCTATTTCCGTTTAAAAATACCTAAGAACTCTGGTTTGTGGAGTGAGCCTGTTCCACTGTTCACATTCAAGACAATAGGCGAAATACGTAACCTACACCGTTGAGGTACAGCTGGGATGGCGCAGTCGGTATAGAGGCTAGCTACGAGCTTGACCACCAAGGGTTCCGAGTTCGAGTCCCAGTGATGGCAAAAGTTTAAAATTCTCCATGTGGTCCAGACCGGCTCTGGGGCCCACCCAGCCTCATATCCAATGCGTACCGGGAGCTCTTTCTCCGGGGGTAAAGCGACCAGGGCGTGAAGCTGACCACTCGCGTCCAAATAGTACAGAGGTCAAGAAAACGTGGTCTATACAGAAGGACTGTATAGGCATGAAATAAAGAGATGGAAGTGTGCAACGCTGTCCCGGTGAACATGATACAGCATATAGCCGGACAGGAATATCTAATTACATTATCATCAACGTTTCAAACCGTATTTTTTTTCCCTTGGCACTACAGCCCCAGTGGGCCTAGGCCTACCTCCATGAACTTCTACGTTCACTTCGGTTCTTCTAGATCTTACACAATCGGTAGGACTCCTTGGGCGAGTGTTCAGCTCGTCGCAAGGCCTCTACCCGTAAACAAACACAGAAAAACGCACACACACAAACTAAACATCCATGCCCTGAGTGGGATTCGAACCCATGATCCCGCTTTCCAAGCGAGCAAAGACAGTACATGCCTTAGACCTCTCGGCTACCGTGACCGGCTTCAAACCGTATAGGAACCGAAATACTAATTCAAGTATTATTTTACACACTGGTTCTAGATACTAAGCTGAAATATTGATATGTCAGAGATGAGAAATATTTTTTAACTCATTTGACAAAATACAATTTGCAAGTAAAACGTAAAAAGGTATAGTTGTCCCTGTGCTTAACTAGTAAAGCGCTGCGCTATGAAGACGTATGGGGAGTGGATATATATACATAGACGCACATTTGACCTCGGCACTAGTTGGAGGTGAGTGGTCAGTTTCACGCCTCGGCCGTTTTATCCTCGGGGAATAATCCCCCGGTACCCATTGGATAGAAAGTTGGGTGGGCCCAAGTGCTGATCTGGACGACATGGAGAAGTAAAAATTCTTGCCCCCACTCGGATTCGAACCCAGACTCCTTGGTCGTTTAAACCGTGGCCAGTCGCTATACCGAGTACACTATTCTGGCTACCACAAGTCACAGGTAGTGTTGAATATCAAATGAAAAATTATTTCTTGCTCATGTTTCATAATACTTTAAAAAAATCGTTTTATAGAAATTGTTTCTCTAATATACAGACGATGTTGCACACAGAATGAAAGACAATTAAGATTTGTGAAAGATAATTTGAAATATTGAACACATTCGTATCCTGAAAGGTATAAATATCAATTATTAATTATTTTTAAGTAGGAAAACCCCTTAGTGAAATGGAACACTGCTGACGTGTTGCAGTGATGCCAACAATGGGGCTGCGGTGCTACCGATGCGGACAGTACACGGATGGCGTGGGATCCATTACACCATGCATTAACTACACTTCGCATAACCTCCAAGACTGCCCGGAAGAACAGAATATTTACTGCATCGTAAGTAGACTCCCAGTTATAATCTACATTCATGAAAACCAATTATTTGTAGCTCTCCTCATGTAGTAAATTTTACGTGACATTGTTACTTCAAAAATAAATTTCATTGTTCGGTGTGTTCACCTATATTCCTATGTGGTTTCTGTGGTCTAATGGTCAGAGTTCCTACCTACAGATCAACAGGTCCCGTGTTCGATTCCCGGCTTTACCAGATTTTCTGAGAAGTAGTGGGTCTGAAACGGGGTCCACTCAGCCTCGTGATGATAACTGAGGAATTATTTCAAGGAAATAGCGGCTCCGGTCTAGAAAACCGAAATTAACGGCCGTGGGGATCCGTTGCGCTTGCCACGCAACACTCTCTATCCGCTAAAGTTGACAATACCTTCACCGACAAGCGGCGGTCGCTCGGTCGGTGCAGTTCGCTTGCGGACTACAGGCCACGGAGTCTTTTTTATGTTCTTGAATTCACATTCATCGCTTTAGCTGACCTTCATAACGTAGTTCTTGTGGATCAGGTTGCATATTCCGCCACAGTAAAGAAAATCTCTCTTTGTAATTTAGCATGCATGAAACTGCACTACATTATCTGTAAATACTCTATAACGTGTAGGTACGAGACTAAATTTTCCTAAATATATTGTATTTTATAATTTTCCTACAATATTTTACCGATTTATATACAGGATGTTTCAGAAGGAAAGATCAATATTCTCTGTGTGCATAGTATCGGTTTTTCTATGCAAGAACTGTATATTTACGTGTGTCCTGTTCCGAACGGTTTCCAAGATAAAGATATTTCTCTGTGCAGTTCACTGTACAGATGAGCAACACGCCATGTCCTCACACGAGCTGCAAAGTGCACTGATGTTGACGGTGGAACTTTCGAAATTGTATTACATTAGGTAAACTGTACCAACTTTTTCACTTGAACAATAAATACCGGTATTAGAAAGAGTACAAAATATCTCTTTCTTATCAACAATTTTGGAACTGCTCAGTGAAATAGCTCTATCTGGGAAACCGTTCGGAATAGCACACATGTACATATACGCTTCCTTGCTTAGAATGTCCGATACTATGATCTCCCAGAATATTGACTTTTACTCCTGGGACACCCTGCATATGTATATAATAAATCTTCTGTGGAGTTTTCTGTGCGGCTCCTAGTTTAAACACATTTGTTTCAAGTCCTACTTTTAAGAATCACGGTCCAGTGATATCCTTATGGAAGAAAACGTGGGGAAACAAACCGACCTGAATTCGAAGGCATTCATGTAAGAAACTAATAATTTTACCGGGGTTATCCTTCCTAGATGGACTGCTTTTTCCTTCGCCATTTCTATTTACAGAGCAGCGTTTGGAAGAAACAGAATGAGAAGAACATAAATACAAAGAAACAAACGTTTGTTTGCTTTGTGTACATAGTACGCGGAATGTAACTACGTTTGTTCATGGTAATTACTACTGAAAGTTAGAGAAAAATTAATAAAACGAAATCCGTTACAGCCACAGCCCACTTCACGCCATGGCCTCCTCTGTTATGTGGTTTCAAGAAGCTACAAAGCGGCGGGTCTCTTTGAGGAGAGAACCAGACCACAGAAAGGCATTTTGCATCAGTAAACATGACAGGAAAATGAGGAAAGATATTCTTGATAGATTTAAAACCGGAACCGAGATATAAGCATTTGAAGAGCCTGAGATAATAAACGGCAGAGTTGTCTCTGGGCTTAACTAATTAAGCTATACGTCATCAAGACGTAGGGGGAAGTGAATGTATTGAGCCACGTATTCCTGACCCCGACTCTAGTTAGAGGCGAGTGGTCAGCTTCACGACACGGCCGCTTTACACTCGGGGAAAGAATTCCGGAACCCATTTCATAGGAGTCTGGGTGTGCACCTAAGTCCGTCTGGATGACGTAGAGAGGAGAAAACTTTGATCGTATCCAGACTCGAACTCCGACCCCTCGGCCCTCCAGCCCGTAACCAGTCGCTATACCGACTGAGCTAGCCCGGCTGCTAGACTAAGATAAAACGGAACTTTCACCGTGCTGCCATCTGGATCGGAGCCAGGAAATAAATATCTTCAAACCCTCCGAAAATGAAAGGAAATGACACACGGGAAGATCCGATCAGATTATTCACCGAGAAACCAATGAGAACGAAGTTTAATCAGCTGCGTGCTTATGAAACTAGCAACGTATGAAGCAGTATCAAAGACACGTCAAGGAAAATACAATTAAAATTTAAATACTTTAAAATCGCTGTCCTCCGAATTGAAAAGCACGACAATACTGTTAGGCTGGATTTATGTTCTTTTCCTACACTCCAGATGTATTCCTTCCTCCCAGAATACTTCGGACAGATGCCAAAACTTTTGTGATCTACATAGTTTATTATTATTATTATTATTATTATTATTATTAACACTTAGATTTATGTAATGAAATTATTATTATTGCTATTATTATCATCAATTGTTTGTTTGTTTACTTTTTACATTATTGTGTTTTCCCCAGTGCTTGCGTGTAATTTGTCTTTGACCTTATAATGTGTTTGTCTATAATGTAATTACTTGTATCTACACTGTGCTCTGTCTGAAATTGGCCTTGCGGCTGTAGATTCGGCACATAAATACTAAAGAATTGAACTGAATTATTATTATTGTTGTATGCTGCTCTATTTAAAACTCAAATTCTCACATTGTGGGTTTGTCTGTGTATGTTTGCTTCAGTATCTTTATTCATGCTAACTGTGTAATTAATATAGAATTTTTGTATTTTGTTTTTTAATTATTTTTGTGTATTTCTCTATTGGTGCTAGCTTTGTAATTGACCTCTGTGCTGTTAAGTTTGCACGTAAACAAACACGAATCGAATTGAAATATTTTAAAGGAAGGTAAGAAACGTGAAAGGGGTTAGGTGGTTTTGTGAAATTTAATTTTTAAACATTTGTCTCACGACTACAAATGTAGACATTTGAGAGACACAGAGAGAGAGAGAAAGAAAATGGGCACACATTTTGCTACTTCTTGCTTATGGAAACTGACGTGTTGAGTGAGGCCTACAGCAGCTTGCGAGGTGAGAAACACTACAACGTGTTCATGAATAGTATATTTAGGTAAAGGAACAAACTGGGTAAAAAGAAACCTTGAGCTTATTATTTTCAAGCCAGACGTGTTTTATGTCTATGGGAAGCGGCAGTCGGGACGTCAGATGGTACAGAAATGGCACGATAAAGCATGAACCAGGCAATGCAATTTGTAAGGAAAAGACGGATGGCATTTGTCAAGTACTGTGCATCTCTTCAATCCATCTAGAGCTATGCGTGAACACACAGCAAGTCGAACAGGAAGCCTCCATCATGACGTCATGAAATCTAATGTTCCAATGGATTAGAACTTCCCCTGTCTTCTCTTATTTTTTAATTTTCAATATATTTCTTTTCCCGCCTTCGCCTTTATCATCTTTGCCTATTCTTTTATTAACACCTCAAGTGTGTGGGACACACCATATGCATCCGCTCAGTTACATGCATCTAGCGTGAATTTAAGCGGGGGTATTTAAATCTCTCCCGCTGCTTTATTTTCGCAAGCATTGAAGATTTTGTGCAGACATTTATCTAAATATTTTTAAATAACGAAATCGCTATTTGAAAAATTCCAAAAAATTATATTATATTTACAGCTGTTTACAGATCTTTATTATAAATGTGTACTTACATTTTGTCAAGCTATTTCTTTTTCCCAGTTCTCCATATGCAGTGTCTAGTAATTGACCTTAGTGTGGTATTGCTCAAAGCAGGCGTCTAGGCAGAGAGAGGGTGTCCCTAGGCAGTTTTTACACCTGTATCTGGTTTGTTTTCTCTTTCCGTTTTTTAAGTTTCGGTGTTGGGATTTTCTTGAATGAAATGCTGTCCCGTCAATCTCGTACATTCCATGTCGGTGTCTGAAGGACGCCCTTTGCACTTTTGTAAATTCTGTCCATGGGACTTTGCTATGATCTTATTCACTAAGTTTATTCTGAATAAAAGATGACCTTCCTTGTTACCAGCCTTGCAGTACTGAATGTAAGCATTCAAAGCTGCAGGGAATGCTACCCCTCAGTTACTGATTGATGCGCACAAGTCTACTGCGCAAACCTAAGCTCCAATAACGTAACCTAACCTAACCTAACTTAACGTAAAGAAACAAAACATAACCTAACCTAACCTAACTTAACCTAGCCTAACCTAGCCTAGCCTAGCCTAACTTAACTTCGCCTCGCCTCGCCCCGCCCCGTCTCTCCAAGCCAACAAACTCGCCTCGCCCCGTCAAGCCTCGACCAATCTCGCCTCGCATCGTTTCGCCCAGTCTCGCCATGCCTCACGTAAATTCACGTCAAGTCACGCCAAGTCATCCCAAGTTACGTCAAGTCACGTCAAGACACACCAAGTCACGCCAAGTCAGGCCAAGTCACGCCAAATCAGGTTAATTCACGGCAAGTCACGTCACCTCACCTCACGTCACGTCACCTCACCTCACATCACGTCACCTCACCTCACGTCACATAACTTAACAGCAAGGAATAGTACCCATAACTTACTGATTGATGTGGACAACTCTACTGCGCAAACCTAACCTAACATAAACTAACCTAAACTAACCTACACTAACCAAACCTAACCTAAGACAACCTAACATAACCCAACCCAACCTAACCTAACCAAACCTAACCAAACATAACTTAACCTAGCCTAGCCTAACCTAACCTAACCCAGTCTAGCTTAATGTAGCCTAACCTAGTCTAACCTAGCTAAATTTGCCTAACCTAACGTAACATAACATAAACTAGCCTAGCGTAGCCTAGCCTAGCCTTGCCTCGCCTCACGTCAAGTTACGACAAGTCACGCCAAGTTACGTCACGTCATTTCAGGTAACCTCACCGAACTTCAGCTCACCTCATCTAACTTAAGAGCAGGGAATGGTACCATTCAGTTACTGATTGAAGCGAACAAAACTACTG